AAAACCCAATTTAGGCATTTTGGTAGTGTATACTTCTTGGTAACCTGAATGCACATTTCTTGACCAGTGGCTCTTCTGTATGTTCAGTTTCTCTTGTATTTTTGAGAAAAACAAAGACAGTCACAGGGGTGTCTGCAGCTTTCCATTGTCTGTACAGTATGGTACTTGACATTATTTGTTCATATTGCCTCATTCAGCAATGTCCCTGATTGCACTTCAGAATTACACTTCAGAATCTTAATAACATTCAGTTGATTTATGTCTAACAAACAAAGTGCTGAAGTCACTTTTAGTACCCACGACCTTTATTTGAAGTAGCAAGTTATTCTCTTGGCAACATCAAAGCTTTCTTAGAATTCACTTGTATTCAAAGTCACATCCGTCTTGCCACATGTAGGATATCAGATACAGAACAGGTCATTGCCAACCAACCACATGTTACTATAAACAACAGCTTCTTATCTTATCTTTAGGTGATTACACAGGACCGAATAGAATATTGGAGACAACACTAAGATCTCTCCAAGTGGAAACACAAATAGCACATTCTACTACAACACCAACTATTCAAAGACAAATACAATAACACTTCTATTTGCTGAGTCCAGTATATGACATTGTCACTGGAATAGAACATTTTTAAACGTTAATTATAAGTACACAGACTACATCAAATTACTAATATTCTTTATGAAAACACTTTTCTCAGGAAAATCTAAGCTTTTTAATGAATAGATAATGGAATAAATGAGGGTCTTTCATATGTACCTGCACTTATAGTTCACAGTGGCTGTCAATTACCAGGTTCCAGCCGGTGATTACTCGTTGGCACCCGGTGATTGCCGAGGATCTCCGATGGGGGGGAGAACTGTTGGTAGACAAAACAGTTCTCTCCCCTGTCAGCTCGGGCACACTATTTTGCATGGTTGTGCACAGCACAGCCACGCAAAGCAGTGTGCTTACAGTGAAGCACACACACACAGCCCCTAGTAAAACAGCACACTGTTAACCCTTTGATGCCCCTGTTCTGTCTCTCCAATCTAAGCATTGATAATGTGATCTCTGTAACTTACAGTTGTGATGAGATAGTGATAACTTCAACCTCAGTTGGATACCACAGTCAGTGACTCAATTGATAAGACATCTTTGTAGATCTTGTGAAATTTATTCCATAAACTGCGAGAATCTTACAACATAGGTCAAAAGATGTGAACTACTTCATGAGGCTAGAGCTGCAATGCATTTCTGGGAAAGGGGGAGGGCTATCTATACAGCATTAACTAAAGGAAAGGGAGGAGCAGAAACAAAATATAGAAACACTTAAAGGCATATGACAGTCAATATGACAGTCATGTGAAACATGACAGCCCCACATGTTAACGCCTTCCTGCCCAATGCCATTAGTACAGTGTCAGTGCTTTTTATTAGCACTGATCAGTGTATTGGTGCCACTGGGGAAGTCGCTGATTGCCACCATTACTAGTAAAAGTATTTTTTTTTTTTAAATTGACGAAATCTGATTTTTAAAAATTTTTTTACTGGACATGTTTAATACCAAAAAGTCAAAAATATTGTTTTTTTTTTTTTCAAAATTATCAGACTTTTTTTTTCATAGAGCAAAAAATAAGAAACAGACAGGTGATCAAATACCATCGGAAGAAAGCTCTATTCGTGGGGAAAAAAGGACGTAAATTTCATTTGGGTGCAGCGTTGCATGACCACACAATTGTCAGTTAAAGTAACACAGCGCCGTAACGCAAAAAATGGCCTGGTCAGGAAGGGGGGTAAATCATCTGGAAGGCAAGTGGTTAAATTACATTGACTGATCATTTGGGATAGGGGAGCAATGTAGATTAGTCACCTTTTCCAAGGCATCCTGATGTATATCACTGCTCTGACTCATTTAATTATGTGTTTAAATTTCATATTGAGCTACTGAGCTCTGTAAACAATTGGATTTTTAGAACAGGTGGTAAAAGAAACACAAAAATTTGAAAAAATGCTAAAAATTCTCCTACTGGCTCTTGAAAACATAAACTATTATATATATGATATATGCGATATTCCTGATATACCTGGCTTAAAAGAAAAAGTTCTGATCACAATAAAACAATTAAAATATGTACAAAACCTTTCTTGTAAAGCTGAATTCCAGCCTTTGCAAAACAACGTACCTGGAATTAGGCTGGGCTTGCAGGCACTATTTGTGAGGCCTCATGCACACTGGACATTTTTTTTCCTGCCTAAATGCCCCTGCATGTTAGCCTATGGGCTTGATTTACTAAAACAGGAGAGTGCAAAATCTGGTGCAGCTCTGCATGGAAACTAATCAGCTTCCAGGTTTAATTTGTCAAAGCCTAATTGAAAAAGCTGAAGTTAGAAGCTGATTGTCTACCGTACACAGCTGCACCAGATTTTGCACTCTGCAGCATTGATAAATCAACCCCTATATGTCCATGCACACATAAGCTTTTAAAGACATATTGAGGCAGGGGTGTTTAGATGCAGAAAAAAAGCACTGCCGAGTGTCCAGGATCAGCAGTGTTCTGGCAGAAAATGTTTTTTGACTCATGTACACGTGTGTAATTGTGTCTAAACACATGTCAACATGTTAGGTTCGTCAAGCACTTCAGTGTTAATTCATTTCAATGGCCAGAATAAATTATTATTCTAGCCAATGGAATGAATTCCCGCCCAAGAGCTTGATGTGCCTAAACGCATCTAGACGCATTTAGGCATGTTTACAATCGTAAAGTGTTTTTTTTTTCTGCCAAACGCTGCTGCTAGGAGGAAAGGTGTCTAAACAAGGTGAGCAAACGCCCTATTTACATGAGACCTAAGTCTTTTCATTCTGTGACTTCTAATATTCCCAAATGTGTGCCTCTGAAGTCGCTAGCTGTTACATAATGGGATGGATGAAGCTCAGTGTCATTCAGTCCCTTCCCTTGCGATCAGACTGTCAGTAACACGCACCCTGAATTTTGTCATCACACACACCAGCATTCAAATTACTAGCCATAGACTGCATGGTTGAATATTATTATTATTATTATTGTTATTATACAGTATTTATATAGCACCAAAGGGTATGCTCAGCGCTGTACAGTAGCAAGGGGGACAGAACATGAGACAAGACAGTAACAATACACTACACGAGGGGTTCAAGGGCCCTGCTCTTTCGAACTTACAATCTAGGAGGGAGGGGAAGGTGGTACAGGAGGAGATGGCTGTGGGGAATGGGGTGGTGGGAGGAGTGGAGGAGGTTAGTGGTTATAGGTCGGGTGTTAGGGGAGGTTGGGGTAGGCTTCCCTGAAGAGGAGGGTTTTCAGGGTGCGCCTGAAGGTAAGGAGGGTAGGTGACAGTCTGATGGATTGGGGGTAGGGAGTTCCAGAGGATGGGGGAAGTCCTGGCGAAGTGCTGTAATCAGGCGTGGGAGGAGGAGACCAGGGAGCTAGAGAGTAGGAGGTCCTGTGAGGAGCGGAGGGCACGGGTAGGGTAGTACTTGGGTATCAGGTCAGTTATGTAGTTTGGGGCGGCATTGTGAATGGCTTTGTAGGTCAGAGTTAGCAGTTTGAATTTGATGCGTTGGGCAATCGAGAGCCAATGAAGGTATTGGCAGAGGGGGGAGGCAGATGTGGAGCGCTTGGTGAGGTGGATGAGTCTAGCTGCTGAGTTTAGGATCGACTGGAGTGGGGATAGCGTTCGTTTGGGTAGGTCAGTGAGAAGGGAATTGCAATAGTCCAGGCGTGAGATGATGAGGGAGTGTACGAGTTGTTCGGTGGTGTCTGGGGTGAGGAATGTAGGTATCTTGGAGATGTTGCGGAGGTGGAGCCTGCAAGATCTGAATATGCATTCCTTGCAAACATCCTGGAGTTGGGCTCTAATGTTTACTGGAACAGGGGAGAAACCTATGCATTAGACATGTTTGATCTTGGAATTCCACTTTATCCATTCATAGTAGCTTTGAGACAAATAAACCATGGCTTCTGATTGGTTTATGCTAATGACTCAGATTTTGTCTGTTTAGCGTGGGTAAGGGAAATCCACAACTATTTTGGTAGAGTAACATTGCTATGTTAACTCTAATGTAATTCCATTTCTAAAGGACATTCTAAAATCGAATGTTCCGTTATAAAAATTGTAGTCATGTCATGTAAGTGGATTAGAAAAAATAATGTATCCCCTTACATGTTATACTTATGCAAGACAATCAATGTGAGTAACACTGTCCAAAGCTTAAGGGCTGTGTGTGTCATCTCCCAGCTTTCCTGAGCAAACCAATTTAGAAAAGGCCTTTATTGCAGATCTTAATTACGTATTGTATGCGGCTCATGCTGAGCAAACAGTGAGAAGAGAAGTGGTATACCCACCCTGGACTGGCGTCACCATATCTGGGTTATTGTTTTATTGAATCATGTGCCAGATACAAAATGCAGTTAACTCTTTAGCTATTTCACAGTGGATCAACAACAAGAAAAAGTGATACAGAATTGTGGAAAGTACTTACTAATTTGTGAACAAAAGAAATGCAGAGCTAATTATAATGCCTATAAATGTCAGAAATAAAAATCCATAAAAGTCCTCAAGTAAATAAACAAGTTGCTGGAGAAGATTCTGATGTCATAAGCCGTTACCATGCACCCGAAAAATGAGCCTCTTACCGAACATTTAGACCGTATAACACCGGTCAATATGTGCAGTGTGATAAGGAATCAGTATGGTAGGTAATCTTCAATAGATATCCTCTCCCCAAATATAGGATGGTTCCTCCTCTTTAAAGATCTCCAAAACTTGAAGAAACTGTAGGGCAAGCCATTCAAGCAGCGATTGGGAATGTGAGTTCTCCCCACACTCACATGTGACTCCAGTCTAAAAGCGGCGATCTTAGACTGGAGAAGACTACCAAGCATCCAGGGCAAGGTTCACAGTGTACCAGGATTGGTGAGGGGATGTGACTGTACCTATTTCACTACTGAAAAGCGAGTTAAAGTGTTACTAAGCCCAGGACCCTGCATTCACCATATCTGGTCTCCCACAGTACACAGAACATGGAAATGTAATTATTTTAGTAAATATAAACTGCTAAATACATTTTCTCATCAGCAGTTAGAGCAGTCTTATGACTTCTATCAGTGTTCAGCAGAGCACTGGTTAAAGCTTGTAGGAGGCATTTTCTCTAGGAGGATGCAGAACCTCTGACCTCTGTCTGAGCAGTGCTGATTAGTCCTGTGCTGATTACATGCACTTTCCCAAGAAAAAAAAAAACCTCTCTAGCAATACACACCAAACTGAGCATGTGCATGTGACAATGGGTTCAGTCTGTATCAGATGGCCATTTCAACAAGAGGAGGGGCAGAGAAGAAAGGATCAAACAGCCTTTTTACACAATGCAGAGTATTAACCCCTTAGGTTCCACAGTGAGTATAGCAAGCATGCTTTACTGCATATACAGACTGATTTTACTGTTGTGGGTTTAGTAATATTTTAATGTAATCTATAAACTGTACAATTCAGATGAATAACAAACTGAAATCTTTTAGGTGGAGGGAAGTAAAAATAAAAACTAAAATAGTATGGTTGTATAAGTGTGCACACCCTCAAACTAATACTTTGTTGAAGCACCTTTTGATTTTATTCCAGCACGCAGTCTTTTTGGGTATGAGTCTACCAGTATGGCACATCTTGACTTGGCAATATTTGCCCACCCTCTTTTGCAAAAACACTCCAACTCTGTCAGATTGCGAGATCAACTCCTGTGCACAGCCCTCTTCAGATTACCCCACAGATTTTCGATCGGATTCAGGTCTGGGCTCTGGCTGGGCCATTCCAAAACTGTAACCTTCTTCTGGTGAAGCCATTCCTTTGTTGATTTGGATGTATGCTTTGGTGCTTTGGGTCGTTGTCATGCTGAAAGATGAAGTTCCTCTTCATGTTTAGCTTTCTAGCAGAAGCCTGAAGGTTTTGTACCAATATTGACTAGTATTTGGAAGTGTTCATAATTCCCTCTACCTTGACTAAGGCCCCAGTTCCAGCTGAAAAACAGCCCCAAAGCATGATGCTGCCACCACCATGCTTCACTGTGGGTATGATGTTCTTTTGGTGATGAGCAATGTTGTTTTTTTGTGCCAAACATATCTTTTGGAATTATGGCCAAAAAGTTCAACCTTGGTTTCATCAGACCATAACACATTTTCCTACATGCATTTGGAAGACTGCAGATGTGTTTTTGCAAACTTTCACAGGCTTGAATGTTCGTCTTTGTAAGAAAAGGCTTCCATCTTGCCACTTTACCCCATAGCCCAGACATATGAAGAGATTGTTGTCACATGTACCACACAGCCAGTACTTGCCAGATATTCCTGCAGCTCCTTTAATGTTGTTGTAGGCCTCTTGACAGCCTCCCAGAACAGTTTTTCTTCTCGTCTTTTCATCAATTTTGGAGGGATGTCCAGTTGTTGTTATTGTCACTGTTGCGCCATATTTTCTCCACTTGATGATGACTGTCTTCACTGTGTTCCATGGTATATCTAATGCATTGGAAATTCTTTTGTACCCTTCTACTGACTGATACCATTTAACAATGAGATCCCTCTGATGTTTTGGAAGTTCTCTTTGGACCATGGCTTTTGCTGTGGGATACGACTAAGAAAATGTCAGGAAAGACCTACTAGAACAGCTGAACTTTATTTGGGGTTAATCAGAGGCACTTTAAATGATGACAGGTGTGTACTGACTCCTATTTAACATGATTTTGAATGTGATTACTTAATTCTGAACACAGCTACATCCCAGTTATAAGAGGGTGTGCACACTTATGTAACCACATTATTTTAGTTTTTTGTTTACCCCCTCTTCCCCCCTAAAAGATTTCAGTTTGTTTTTCAATTGAGTTGTACAGTTTATAGGTCACATTAAAGGTGGAAAAAGTTCTGAAATTATTTATCTTTGTCTCATTTTTTTACCTCACAGAAACCTGACATTTTAACAGGGTTGTGTAGGCTTTTTATATCCACTGTATATGCACTATAAAATTGCACAGTTTTGTAGTGTGATTCAGGCACCCGAATATGTTTGAACACCACATCTTTTCCACTGCGATTTTATTCCATCCTCTTATCTACAAAAATGCCTTCTATCCTCTTCTATGCAAAATCGGCTATGGATGGCATTGCTGTGTGAAGAGTTATTTGAGAATGCCTCTATACTCTATAGCATAGGTCTCCAAACATTCTAAAAAAAGGCCCAGTTTACTGTCCTTCACAGTTTAAGGGGGGTGGACTGTGGTCAGTGGGAGTAGAAATCGTACCAGCGTCAGTGGGGATAAACAACGCTCCATCATTGCTATTGCAGAGAGGAATAGTAACCCATTATTGTATCGGTGGGAGGAATTTTGCCCCATCACTGGAGTCAATGGGAGGTATGGTACCCCATCATTGGAGTCAGTGGGAGAAATGGTGTCCGATCATTGGAGTCAGTGGGAGGAATGGTGCCCTATTGTTGGTGTTATTGGGAGAAATAGTATCTCATTGTTGGTGTCAGTGGGAGGAATAGTGTCCGTCATTGGTGTCAGTGGGAGGATTAGTGTCCCAAGGGCCAGAAAAAGCCTAGAAAACTCTACAGCTTGTGAGTTTGGAACGCATCAATTGAAACTCACACAAGACCCTTTTTACAACAGCACTCAAAACGCACTCCGTGTGGATTGCCTGTCTGTGAACCACTTCCATAGGAACACATACTATCTGCCCTGTCATGCAAATCTGTGCCCTTGAAAATGCATCTGGATTAGCATGTGTGTGAACTAGGGCTAAAAGAGATGGTAATAAGTGCACCATCGTACAAATAAACCCCAACGTTAGCCAGTTTAAGTTTGCAAATTAGGCTCCAAGTACTATGCTAACATCTCCCAGGAGTACCCCGTCTTGGAAAGCCTACATATACCAATGTCCAGGGGGCCAGTGAGTCCTAAGTTTTCCTTCTTTCCAGCTCCAGGCTCGCAGGCAGGTCCTATCTCACTAGGCCTCCTGACATCCTTCCACCTCAACCTTACATCTTCATCTCTTCTTCTTCCACCCGACTCTGCCCTGCTACTGAGTAGGCTCCTACACTTCTTAAGGGAGTCCAGCCTCTTGCCAAGCCTCCTGTTGGGGATTGGCTGAGGTCCCTCAAAAGTGCAGCAAACCACTCCTCAAATCCACCTGCTACCTCCAAGGCCCTCTTCTTAAAGCCTTAGAGCAGGGGGGGACTTACAGAGGGTTTGGTCTGCAGATTCTCTCAGTCCTGACTAGAATTTGACCCCTCTGACTATCTCATCTGAGCTGTTAATCAGCTCCTCACTAGCCATTAGGGTCTAGCTCCCCCTAGCTAAACTAGGAGGGTGTTACATATATGTCAATAATTGTGGTAGCATATTAATGCCTAATATAACAGCTCTCTTTTGAGCTTCTAATCCCTTCTATATTTGGGTCTCCACATCTGTTGTTGGCACCTAGCCGCTGCTGGACTACACCCATCACCATTACCTTGATTGTATCAGCAGTTTTTGTAAGTGTATATAATGTTGCCTTGGCAACACTTTTTATCTTTATTTAATAATGTTTATATAGTGTATATACTGCATATATATGTTATCTGTATCATGATTTTATTTTTTTTTATTTAGAAATAATTAGCACAGCTCCTGAATAGGCAATATTTATTGTGAAACATGTAGAGCTTCAACCTAAACACATCAAGAAGCCCTGTAAAGCATTAAGTCAATTCAAGGCCTGTTTACATCACAGGGGGCCTTGATAGTATTTGGGCAGTTTGGATAGTCATTTTTAATATGTAGTCCTTATCTTAGAATCGCATAGTATTGCTAATCTAACATAGGTCCTTTCAGCACGTTAAGATATATCCAAGTGTGCCAGAGGGGACAAAGTGGTTTAGAGAAGAGAGGACCCATGATATTAACCGGCTCCTTTGGAGGTAGTGCTAAAGAAAATCATTTTTGCATCATTTGCTATGGGGTACGTTCTCCTAGGCAGGCATGCTTGAACTTAGTTAATTATTTGGTTGCTGTGTTCTTGCAACATCTATTGTCTGTCTCATTTATACTATTACCACTTTCCAAGGTGGTGCTATATATGAATAGATATTGACACAATATAGCAGATCATGTCATTATCAGTGCATGTATGGTGCCCAAATCACCATATCAGGGGACAAGAGTCACTATGCAAAAGGCAGCCGAAATAATGCAGGCTGGAAAATTAATCAGCCCGCAGCTGATTGGAGTAAAAAGTTGAATTAGATGTTTGGATAGAAATGCGTTTGAAGGATGCCTGAGCTCATCTCTATCATACAGGTAGCTCTGTGGTGAATAGATGATTTAGTGATTCGACTCTTGCACCCCCTGCATTAGTCATGAATAGAATATTGGAGAATACGAGCCAGAGAGTTGTATATGATCTCTTCCCTCTATTAGAACAGAAGTATGGAGTTAAAAAACAAACAAACACACATACTCACCTCCATGCTGCAGCGTTGGTGCGATGCTGCAGCTGTCCCATGTTGGCTCTAAGACCAAGAACTGAGAGATCTACAGTTATGTGCCACGTCAGCTGATACATGCAATAGCCCGCTATAAGCTGACTCTGGGTCTGGGCCCACACAGCCATGTCACTCATTCACAATCATTTGTGAATGAGAGACTGCAAGTCCCGACAGCCTTAGCAACTGTCAGCTTGTATTCCTCAATGAACTACCACGGCGCTGTGAAGTGCTGTGGTTGTTCATTAATTCTTCCTGTCAATACATCTGTTTGCTTGTACATCCAGTATGAGCAAGTAGATATACTGACAGATCTGCAGGAGACCTGCATGGCACCAGCAATCTGCTGATCACTGGTGCAATCTTGCTTGTACGAGATGTATACTGTCAGGTATACTGACAGGAAGTTCATTGAGGACTACAAGCTGACAGCTGCTAAGGCTGTCGGGACTTGTAGTCTCTCATTTACAGATGACTGTGAATGAGTGACACGGCTGTGTGGGCGGAGCCCCGCATGGCCACTTTTTAAAAAATGTGACAGCTAGCAAGGGGGGAGAAGATACCCTGCTAGTTGTTAAAGCGGGGATTGGAGGGAGCAGGGGCCAGTCTGATCGTAACATGTTACACCCTGAATATGGGTGTAACATGTTACGAAAGGTGAACTTATCC